CTGCAGCTCCCCAGCCTCCTCATATTTTCCTTGATTTGAATATGTCAATGCAAGATTATTCATGCTGGTCAAGGTATATGGATGTTCTGGCCCCAGTACTCTGTTATACAGATCCAGGACTTTCAGCTGCAGCTCCCCAGCCTCCTCATATTTTCCTTGCTTTGAATATGTCCATGCAAGATTATTCATGCTGGTCAAGGTAGCTGGATGTTCTGGCCCCAGTACTCTGTTATGAAGATCCAGGACTTTCAGCTGCAGCTCCCCAGCCTCCTCATATTTTCCTTGCTTTGAATATGTCAATGCAACATGTACTCATGCTGGTCAAGGTATCTGGATGTTCTGGCCCCAGTACTCTGTTATGACAGATCCAGGACTTTCAGCTGCAGCTCCCCAGCCTCCTCATATTTTCCTTGCTTTGAATATGTCAATGCAAGATTACTCATGCTGGTCAAGGTATCTGGATGTTCTGGCCCCAGTACTCTGTTATGACAGATCCAGGACTTTCAGCTGCAGCTCCCCAGCCTCCTCATATTTTCCTTGCTTTGAATATGTCAATGCAACATGTACTCATGCTGGTCAAGGTATCTGGATGTTCTGGCCCCAGTACTCTTTTATGACAGATCCAGGACTTTCAGCTGCAGCTCCCCAGCCTCCTCATATTTTCCTTGCCTTGAATATGTCAATGCAAGATTACTCATGCTGGTCAAGGTAGCTGGATGTTCTGGCCCCAGTACTCTGTTATACAGATCCAGGACTTTCAGCTGCAGCTCCCCAGCCTCCTCATATTTTCCTTGCTCTGAATATGTCGATGCAACATGTGTCATGCTAACCAAGGTAGCTGGATGTTCTGGCCCCAGTACTCTGTTACGCAGATCCAGGACTTTCAGCTGCAGCTCCCCAGCCTCCTCATATTTTCCTTGATTTGAATATGTCAATGCAAGATTACTCATGCTGGTCAAGGTATCTGGATGTTCTGGCCCCTGCTTCTTTATTCTCATTTCTACAATTTTATATTGAAAATACTCTGCATCTTTCCACATTCCATTTACATCCAACACATAACTAAAGTTAGAATATTCCTTATCATTAAACACTCTTTCAAAGCCATTTTCCTCCTGTGACTGGTAAATGGCTTTGATGTGTGGCACAAGAAGCCTGTTGAATGCAATGTTCTCAGCTGTCATCTCCTCTGTAATACAGTTTACAAGGATCAATTTTGACACTTGCATCATGCACTTCTTTTGAGATTTTGACATTCTATCCCTACTCCATTGATGCATCAATGGATGAATTGCATAAATTCCTGGAGAGCTTGATTGCTGCTTGATTAAAGAAAAGGACATAAGAACCCTAACTCCTTCATGAAAGAAGAATTGATTCCAAGACTGATCTTCTTCAAGCTGAAGCAATTTATTCATACATGTTTCAACTTCTTCTTCTAGTCCACTATGCAGTCCTTTGGAGAACTCAACAGCAGCCTTTCTAAAGGCAGCCTCAATGATATTCTCATGATGTAGAAATGCAGCAGTTTCCAGAATAAGAAGAGCAGCCTGAGCAGCTGCTCTACCATGCCCATCAGATTTCCTATTTGACCTTGATTCAATTTCATTGAATGACAAATCCCATGTTTCATAGACTGTACGATCATACTGAGATGCGCCCCTAAATGAAGGGTGGTTCATAAGCTTGTTCCTATGTCGAGAGAGATGCTCAAGGTAATTATCAATACTACAGAGACCAGCTTCAATGGAAGCACCTGCTTGATCAACAGCTAGAGGTAAGCAGCAGAGCTCATTTACAATTTGTTGAGCTGTGCCATAGACATGTTCAGAATGCCCAGTTAGATGGCTGGCTTTCAGCAAAAGTGATATGGCTTCCTTTCCAGCCATCTGATTAATCTCAAGTGAATTTTCATAGGATGTAACCCGCCCAAGAGATCGATTTCTGCTAGTAACCAGAATATTTCCCTGAGAACCAGATGGGATAAATTTTTCTACTACTTCAGGTGCACCATCAGCATTGTCAAACACAAGCAGCCATTCACTCTGCAGAGATCCAATCCAGAGAAGAGCAGACTGAGAGGACATAGAAATACCAGCAGCTTTAGCATCAGGATGAGAACAAAGACCCTTTAAACCAAGAGCAATAGTATCTTCAGAAGATGCATCAATCCAGAAAACATGAGAGAATCTAGATGTTCTTGTCAGAAGATCAGAAATATAGTATGTGAAAACACTTACCTTTCAGCCATCTTTTCAACAAACTTCAGACAAATCTGTGTCTTGCCAATACCCCCCATGCCATACAACAAAAAAGACTTTCTGCTTCTATCTACTTGATCTTGAGGTGAAAAGTGATCCATCAGCCTCTTGAGAACATCCTCACGGCCTGTAAATAAGGCACTTGAATTTGGTCTTTGGGGAACAAAGGGTAAATCATCTTGAACCCCGCTGGCATGTTCATGGACCTCAATCTTGACAAAAAGTCTGATCAATATCTCAAACCATCAATGCTGTTGTCACAGTACACACATTTTGCGCAACATAAAGTGTTGTATCCCTTATAACGAAGTTGTGAGCTCCCGGAAATACATTCTAGGATTCCCAAGGACAAAAGGCATGAGCCAAAGAATTTATTCACGCATTATAAACACGCACCAGAGACGTTCCTCCCCCCGTAACCTCTGGCACCCTTGTAAATGTCGACCTAAATCTCGTCAGCATGCTATCTGCCAGCGTGGGAGTCATGGACTCCAACCTCGAACCGCTAGGGCGTGAGCCTTCGTAACGTGGGCGGCCTGCGCCCATGAGCCGGTCGAGCATTCCCTTGAACTTTCCTTTCAAACGATTTTCACGAGGGCGATTAGAATCAGACATCGTGGTTCAGAAGAGAGTTGTTGATGCTGTGCGGCGTTAATTTTCCGGATGGGTAACGGATGGTTTCACAGAGTCAGCTGACGTTCCTCGACGATGTTGACGCGCTCGGGTTGCTCTACGTTTGTTTTGGTCGTTCTCTTTTTCCACTTGAAGTCGCGCATATAACCACCTCCAATGTTCCCCACGCCGCCTGCCTCGTTTTTCTAATGCTCGGACTATTGATATTGTGTGCATATAGTCACCTCAGAAGTTCCCCAACCCACGTTCGGGCGTCTCCCTCATTCTTTCTTTCCGTTTTGCAACCAGGAGAATCGTTATCGTAGGATCGGGACCATAACCTACATTGCGGGAATTCGCGGCTGACGCTTCACATGTATACATACATACATCGTCAGCCTGCGTTGAGCATGCGAGAAAGGACAATGGCGCGTCTGCAGATGCCAACTGGAGTGTATAGACTGGGATCAGCTTGAATGCTTGGCTTACGGTGCGTACAGACATTGCATTTGCATCTATCACGGACAGCCCCCTTAAGCTCTTCCCTCAGGCCTAGGGCATCTGCAGAAGAACTCGACACACCGTCATCCACTTCCTCTCATCGGTTCTTGGACAGGACGACGGGAGAACCTACGCCCCTGCAAGAGGGCGTGGCCACTAATGGGGAGGGGTGTTGATTAACGTTGAGGATTACGAGGGAGTCGCGAGGTTGCTCAAGGACATAGGGAGCCTGAGTGCGGTGGATATGACGGTTCTCTAAATCCAAGGCCATGGATGACACCGATGCGTCTGCAGAGGACAGTGGTGCGCTCACTCCCAACTCCACTGTCGACAAGTTAATCTGAACCTAATGAGTCGCCCAACTGAGCGAATACTGGCCCCTCTCCAAACTATCTACCCTCTCGGACGAAGCGAGCTGAAACTTCTGAACCCACCACCCATTCACGTCTTCTTGGAATTATCCGATCCTGCTGGGCTCTGGGCGAACACTCCTTCCCCCTCCTCACACACCACAACCTCACTATCCAAGCAGACCTCGTGTTGGCGCACAAACTCGTCCCGCAGGGTGTGCTAGATCTCATACCCAGCAAGACAGAACCCATTGCCGCGAAGAAGTTCCCCGGGAATGCAGATAAAAGCCAGCAAGAAACGATGCATCTCGCTGTGGAAGGCGCGCGGAAGGGGTTGTGCGTCGTTCGCGTATGTTCTTTCTTTCAGAGCATCTGAACTTACTCCCACTACTATGAAGGTTAACCAAGTCGATCCCTTTATTACGATCACTCCTCTAAAGCGGTACTTTTCTTCCGTGCGCCTGGGCTCCAGTCTCAGGTGTTTCCTCCGCCTTGGCCAGGCCAACGTTCAGTGTATCCCGCTCACGCACCGCGGTGTAGCCGGGAGTGTGGTTGTGTGGGGAGGAGCAGGGGTCTTGCGAGGTCGCAAGGGGTTGTTGATGCGCTTTGGGGTCTGTCTGCTTGTACGTCCAAGACATCTCCACCTTCCACCACCACCACAAAAAAGACACCGGCAGCAGCCCCAACTCGTTATCCGTCTTGCATTTAGCCCCCACAGCGACTCTCCCTCTTTGAGGAGACAACAAGTTGCTCGTGCCGACATGCTCGAGCACTCTACTTGAACAGTAACTCTCTAGGAGTGGTCGTACAGAGATCCCGGATCCAAGGACTGTGGCATGTTGGGTAGAAAATCCTAACATACATCTACCCAGCATCGTCTAGAATCCGAATCTTTACCCCCTTGGGTTCCGACCTGCGCAATCCGAACACCTTCACCTCCAGAGTGCTGTGCCAGTGTTCCAATTGCCCATGTTCAATGTGCTACCTGAACAGCTCTTGTGAATTTCGACGTTTTGTTCACGGTAACGGACGAAAGCTCAAACTCCTCCTTCATCCTCTTGGTGTCCTTGCGGCTCCACGTTACCATAATGCATCTTGACCATCTACTTCGCGTGTGGCATCACAGTTCTTCCTTATCTTCTAGCTACATCTCACCACTTCCTCCTCCCTCCATCCTTTTGGCCTTCTACTCGTGGCTCGTTCCTTCCACCGTCCATCACCATCCATCTTGTCTTTGGCAGGATACCCTCTCCCCGCCCTTCCTTCATTCTGTCCCGGCCTTTTCTACCGATCGAGATTGCACTTGAATCGAACGGCCTTCGTATGGCAATGCTGCATCCCAATCTCCGCAATTGCTGCCTTGAGCCCCCGAAATCCGAGGTATCGTTCACGATAACGGACGGGAGCTCAAACCACACACCTTCCGTCGTGACCTGTAAAGCATTCGCGGGCTCCTGGTACCCCATCTCGATGATTGATGAGATTCATGGCGTTTGGCTGCTGGCAGTCCTGCGCCTACATGAGCCCAAACCACATTCAGCTTTTCTCTCCTTGCATCCCGATTTTTACTATCGGTCGAGGTTTGCCAATCCGAATGCCACCATTCTCGCGATGACGTACTGAAACATGTGCGACGTGCTGCCCGATGTCAAGAGGCTCTCTTGGTAACGGACGAGAAGTCAAACCACACATCTAATCAGGCAGTCACAGCTTCCTTCTTCATCCCTTTGCCTTCTCCTCATGGCAAATTTCTTGCGCTTGACATCTCATTCCGTTCGACGATCTATGTTTGCCGGGACTTCCTAGATTTGCCCGAACCTGTTTCTTCCTGCCTTTCGACATTTACACAATCGCTCCATGTGTCCCAATCTGAAGCCCTGACTTCCACCCCCTTTTTCGTTTCCAAAACGATGCGCGCTACCTTGAGCAGCCTACTTCCCCTGTTTAAATGTTCCGTTCATCGTCACGGACAAGGAGACAACCCACCTCCCCTAGCAGGGGACAGCAGCCCCCTCTCTCCCTCTTGGAGCATTGGAAGGTGGCTTTCTGGACAGAGGCGACTTTTCCCATGTTTACCCTCACAACCTTGTAGTCAACTCAAGACCGTAACAACTTGGCGGTATCCCAACAAGAAGCCTATCTCTCTCTTACATTCGCGCGCCATTGGCCTGTCATACACCATCTCCGCCAATAGCACTGGTACTAGCATGGCGTGCCCGAGTTCCCCTTCAAGCCACCGAGCTCATGATCAATCAAAGCAACTCTACTGAGGTGCAGCCTGACGTGGACCGCGCATTGACTAGGTCGTACATCCACCCCGTACCGCTTCCTGGCTAACTCACCCACTCTTCCCCGAGCTCCCTCTTGGCTCCCTCCAACCTAAATCTTGGCGCTTCCGAACCGGACCCCGACTCGGGTTCTTGGGCTTTCTTGGGACTTCCCCAAGTTCCAAGGGTCCAACCCTTCGAAGTTCCTGACTAATTTCGTCTTCCGACTCGGACTCACGCTTACCTCCGTTACTCCGTCCGTGCCCTTCTTGTTACAAACTCGGACAAAATAGGTGTACTTTGTGTGGAGTTCCATGTATGTACTGGTGGGCTGTGTAGTTTCGTGTTGTGGAACTCAACAACGTACGAGTACATTGCATTTGCGTCGTGTTTCCGTAGAGTTATATTGAGGTATAAAACAAAACAGAGAGAAGAGATATTAAAAACCGTAAGCCAAGCGAGTGAGTCTCAGGTCAGAGGGATGGGATGAGGAGTAAGCATATATATAGAGAGAGGGCGGCCAATTGCATAATTAGAAGAAGGAAGCGGAAGGCGGACGTAAGAAGGTAGGGTAGGGTCGAGACCAATCAACACTGAACCAATCGACTACCTAGCCAGACTCGCAAAGAATAATAACAAAACAAAGAAAAGAGAGGGGAAAGAGGGTAGGCTGTAAAAAACTCAAAAACCGTTGAAAGAGAAAAAAGATATGGTATTCAAAGATGGGGTCGAATAAAAATGGCGGGGAAGAGTGACCAGGGACGCAACAAGTTCGGTGGGTGGTGGTGATTCGTGTTTGATACAAAGAAGACGCGGGGGATGGCAGGGGGGTAGGTATCATTATAGCAGGGGTGTTGAGTTGGTTGTGGGTAAAAGCAATCGCCATGAGAACAAGCAAGACGAGAGAGAGGGAGCCAAGACGGCGCGAAGGTTTACAGCAGCCCACATTCCCGTAAATGGAGCTGAAGTAATATATCTTGAATCGCACTCAACACAACTATTCATCCAATTCCGCATCAGTCAAAACTCTCAAGAAAAAGGGGGAAACGTACACTTGATCTGCTGCGTATCCGTCGCACACGTATAATGCGCATAAATCTGCTTCGTCGCCGCGCTCTGATTAAGGGAAACGAAACGGTGCAAGAGGTAATCGCACGCCGCGTCGTAGTTGTCGCCGCCTGCATAGTCTGGGAAGTAATCCCCTAACGGTGAGCGGGGGAGTTTTTCGGCGAAGAGATCGATTTTGTTGAGGAATAGGATCTTGGGAGGGGGGTTAGTGGGAAGAGGGAGGGAGAGGGGAGAGGAGACGTACGATTGATGTTTTGACGAACCAACGCGAGTTGCATATCGAGTCGAAGAGGGTGAGCGCTTCTTGCATACGGTTCTGTCAAAAAACATGGTTGGTGAGCGGTAAGAAGAGAAAAAAGAAGAAGAAAAAGGAACATACCACACTCTCATCCTCATACAACATCTGATCATACTCACTCAAACTAACCAAAAACACCAACGCCGTCACATTCTCAAAACAATGTATCCACTTCTTCCTCTCACTCCTCTGTCCACCCACATCAAACAATTTATACGTCAATTCCCCAACTTTAAACGTCGTCTCCGTAATCCCCGTCGTCTTCACCCTGCTCCTTAAAATATCCTGGTCGGTAGGGATATAATTCGTCGCAGCCATCCGATCGATCGAGTTGAAGTAGTACACCGCTGAATCGTTCAACTGGAACTCCCGGGAACGGCGCACGGCGTCTTTGACGCCTGGGTCGCGCCAGAGGGAACGGACGGCGTCGACGACGTCCCGCGGGAGGATGTCGGCTTCGATTTGCATGGGGAGGGCCATGATGGTTGCGCGGCGGGCGTCGTTTTGCGGTGCGAGGGTTAGGTCGAGTTGTGGGAGGGCTTCGAGGATTGCACTTTGTGTTCGATGTTAGCCTACACACACACACAAGAAGACAAGGGAAAACGTACCGCATGGATTGGATGGTGTTTGAAAAGATGATTTCCTTGTACGAGTCCCTTTCGGAGTCGTTGTACCCGCCGTGGTGGATGAGCTTCATTTGCTTCAACACCGTTGACTGTATTGTTGTGTTGGTTGGCTATCAGGAGAAACAGATAGATGGATAGACAGACCTTGCCAGATTCACCAGCCCCAAGCAACAGCATCTTGATCTCGTTCTTCGCCATCATACGGTCCCGCTTCAACTGGCTCTCAATTTCGTCGTTGCCTGTCCACAGCACGTCAATCACCCGCAATCCTCCCTCCAAATGAAAGGGGCAGCCACTTACGGGCCTTGGCCTCATCGTCGACGCCTGATGATTGTACACAGCCCATAGCAGAGATGAAAAGATAAAAGAGTGAAGGGGAAGGGAGGCGACGAAGAGAGGAAGGAAGTAGTAAGAGGTGAGTAAGTAAGCTGTCAAAAGGGCAGGAAGCGATGAATGACAGTGACAACCCGCCTTCCCCTTTCGGCTATAAAAAAAAAGATCATCAGATACATCAATATTATGCAATCAACCCTCTCCTTCCACCCCTTTCTTCAACTTTGGGTACATGTTCAAGGAATGGGCTCCATAAGGCTTTCTTTCATCGTCATGTCTCCCTTGTGCTATATTCGAAAAAGCCGTTGGCAAAAGTCATTGTTCCAATTCAGCTCGATCGCTTCTATTCCCTATTTCGGTCTATCTTCACTGAACAAAGGACCAAATCCGTATCACAGTACCCATTTTTGGTACCTTTTGGATTTAGGTGAAACATCTACCCTGGTACAGCCAAGGCGCGCCTCCTTTGAACGCTTATTCTCGAGTCGAGTTTTGTCGAGATGATCATGCGGGACGAGGCCTGATGGAGGTCAATTGACGTAGGTAGGTTAACTTATGATGTGCATGTCCCATGAGGGCGTCAACCATGTTGTCCAGGTGCTGTAGGGTGCTGTACCACCTAAACACTTGGCGCTGATCCTCCATTCCAGGTTGACTTTTACCTATCATATTCCAAGCTCCAAACCCTTAAGTCCCCACGGGGTAACCAGGTACGTTCTTACTGAATTATATGTGTATCTCCTCCATTCAAGCTGATTCAACCACTGATAAAATAAGCCGACGTCTCTCCGCCAGTAATATCCCGACAATGGTCTACGATCCCCGGAGAGAGCTCAGGCCTATCAACCCAATTACGAACCATATAATACATAGCTCATGTCGGTGCCGCCCTTTGCGAGTTTTGGCGTAGCCGCGTAGGGTCGAATTCAGGAAACGTTAAAGTTGTGCGGCCTCCATGACCATCGGTAGTCACCGCCGTCCGAACCTGGTTTATTTTTGCAAGCGGGCGCCGCACCGCGTTGCCTTACACCCCCGACTTTCAAGTTCAAGTGACAGGGTTTCAACCTCAAGTTGTAAATTTGTTGAATGTAAGAGAATGGAATCACCGGTCCCCTTCAGGCTTCAATACTTACTCGCATCCCATCCATGTCCTCAGGCCTGTAATCATCCCTCCAGTGGTATTTCAAACTCAGGGAATCCCGTGTTGATATATGAGGGAGATCGACTATTGCAAGGCTGGGCATAGCATTAATATTCCGGATCCATCATGCCCCGACGGTGATGTGTTGAATGTAGGTTGTTGGTGAGTGATTATAATCACTGAGTCCTGACGCCCGGAAGCTGATATGTACCGTTTTTGTATTACAGGCTGGAAGGTATCCCTTGACGCTGTACCCTACCCGATGGTCCATTTATTGTATCCCGAAGGTGGAGGATATATCACGGTTGGCAATCTCAGCGCTCAGCGCATACCTCTCACTCCCGACTGGCACTGAGTATCAATTGAATATTCGAGCTCATCTTTAACTGACTTTCCGGACATAGTATTGACAAGTCCAGATGGCTACTAAGTACGCCCCCAAGTCAATTGAATGGCAATTCTCCTCGGCTGCCCCTGTGTGTCGCCTTGCTTTCCGAGTCTCGGGCTGGAATGTCAGCAGCCCTCAGCGCTGACAACGTTAACATCAAAGAGGCTTTGAAAGTTTGAGCTTACTTTTCCCAGATCATCCAGCTAAAATGGAACCGTCTAAGGCTACCCCGTCCCAAAGTATAGAGGTAAGTTGGAATGAAGTTTCGTGGGGTTCTTTCCTCTGCTGATGTTGTTCGCTACCTAGATGGTGTGTTTGATAGGTTAGGAAACGCTTGTTCCGCGTCCGACCGGCAGCGTTTGGCGTTATTGCCCCGAAGATGTAAACGAACCTTTCCTCCTCGGCTGGCCCTGCGTCGTTTTTGAGATGGTCTCGCCTCCGACGTGGTACATTCGCAAGATGATGACAAGGGACGCACGCCTGCACCTCGTGCAGGCCAGGCTACGGCTTTATATCAACGTTCAACGTCGGAGCCGATGTCCTTTTCTCATCAAGACATTAAGTGTTGATGAAATGTCAATGTCAGCGTCAGTGTCAGCGTTCAAGGACGCTATCTATCAAACTTGAGCACGCCGCATGGCACATGCCACAGATCTCAAGTATTAATGTCCCTTTTTATCGAGGGTCTCTCGTAAGTACTTATGTCGTATGTCAGATCTCGGCATTTGGATGTCTATTCCGTTCTCGAAGTCATTTCTCCACCAGACAGCGCCGTCTCAAGGAATTTAAATTTTTTAAGCCGGCCTTTGTATCCGAAAATCCCATCCAACGGTCATTCCAGGAGACAGGCAGACTCGTCTCCTCGCAACACCGTCAATCCATTTTTCCAGTCGTATATTTGAACGCCTTTGTATTTGAAAAGCCCACTAGCTTATACGACATGTCAACCTCATCAGCGCCTCTGATAGTAACTAACGACGGCGATCGTTCTTCCAAGTAACAATAGAAACCCTGCCCGTACAATGCTTTGCAATGTCTTTCCAATTTCCGTCCACGTCACCAGGTTTGACTCGCGCTTGCGCACAAAGGAGAGATATAGGTTCAATTATTGAGGAGATACCTTCCGACAACACTAGCGCTTCACTGCACCCCACCAGCCAAAACCTGCGACGCCCCCGGCTAATATAGCCATGGGAGGCGGGACGGAGAACCATTTGACAGAGGAAAATGTGCAAGCAGCCACCACTAGCCACCACGGGTCTTGTCCTAAGCTGATACCTTTGCTGTCCTGGGCAGTAAGATACCCAACTTCCCAAATGCGGTAGACGGCCGTAAAGATGAGACCCACTGCGGTAGCGTTAATGCCCCGCAGAAGACATGTTACTTCTCTACGTTTTCGCAAAGACCTCCAGATACTCTGGAAGCCAACCGAGATCCAAAGCCCTGGGGCAAAGATGCCCAAGCTGGCGAGGATCGCACCGATCACGGTTGGAATGGAATAAGGAGAGGCGGGGCCAGCGACAGTCATTGCACCTAGGTAGACAGCGAAATTGAAGTTGGGCCCAGGCATGGTCTGAATGATCGCAAGCCCAAGCAAGACATCGCGCGGTGAGACCCCGGCTGCACGACATAATCTCGAAGGAGCGGAATCACCACTGGCCCGCCACCAAAAATGATCGTGCCCGCTAGAAACATGCTGTTGAATAGCGAGAGGAGGATAGGGACATGATGTAAGACTCCCCGTAATACCGTGACGACAGCGAAGAAAAAAGGATGATCGATATCCCTAATTTAACGGAGATGGTATGAGGGGGGGGTTGGTTAGAAGAGGGCAGGTGAACTTGATTATTTAAGTTTGCGAAAGTAGCGATGACATCCGTCGTTGTTGGTACATGTTGCCTGCGGTGTGGCCCATCTGGGCGTTCTGGAATGACCTTAGATGAGGGAGCCATTTCAATTTCCGATGTCGCCTCGGGAGCATCCGACGTCCTGCACCGCCGAACCTGCAACTTCCTGAGCCATGGCTGCAAAACGCAATCCCATATTACCGTCACGAGCCCGCCCATAACAATAAGCAGTGGGAGATACCATATGGCATTGTAACAAAGCGCCGCACACCCTCCAAGAAAGACCAAAATCCTTGTAACCTTGTCTGTGATTGCCTTCCTAGCTAGCTAAACAGCGGAGAGGGCGATGATTCCGACAATGGCCGTGTTTATACCGGATAGGAACACATACACTGGATCTGGTAGTGTATCATTGATCCTCTGAACACCGAGGGAGAGTCCGTACATTGCGATGGCTCTGGGGAGGGACCAGAGAAGAAGGACGAAGCAACCGGGTATGATCCCTGCGTGTAATTGAGCAATGGCGAAAAGCATTTTAGCGGAGGCGGGACCAGGTAAAGCTTGCATTACGGCGAAGAGTTCCTGATACTAAAAAATGGCTAGTTGTCAGTGAAAAGCTGATTTGTGATATTTAATTTGAACTTCACAGTTTGCTCATCGATCCACGGAGTTTTACCTAAACCATCGACGAATCTTCGGTGGAAAATGTGGAAATGGACTGGTGGGCCACCAAAGCAGGTGAAGCCAAGATCGTATGTGCGTTCGAAGACGTGGCCCAAGCCTTGAAGTGTTGGCCTCATAGGGACTACGTTCATTTAAAGGACCACCTGTTGTGTTTCGCCGCAAGAAAGAGAGAACGAGGGCGATGAGAGACATAGCATCAATCGGGCTTGAACGAAAGAAGAGAAGCCAAAGATTTGGCCAAGCTTGGGGCTTTTTTGTGTCAAGCCAAGAGAAAACGCCTTGATTACGCCTGATTAATTGATTACGCGACTTCAGTAACTGTTCCTGTCAACCTGACAGGTTTTGACCTTGTTTTGACCTGTTTGGACGATCTCTGGCTCTGGTTCCTGGCCCTAGGCCTACACCATCACCTCAATCCCCTCAGTCATGATCTCAATCGACGCGTTCCAGTGCCCGTCTCCGGTCTCGCCTTGCTTCACACTGGCATTTTGCGTGTATCAACCTGGTGGCTAGGATATGGCCCACGGGGAATTGTACGACGTACTACCAATCCTTACCGAACATTTCAAACTTCTACAAAACTACAATTACCATCTGCTCTCTCATTTATGCATCGGCTCTGTCCCCCCATCTTCGATTCAAATTATCGTTCCGATTTCCCCAATCCCCCTCTCATCCTCCCCTCTTGAGATTACTGACTTGCTTTCGCATCCCTGACCTCCTGAACGAGGTCTTTTGCAGGTTGCATACACGGCGACGACCCTCCATCTGTTAAAGTGAGGCGACCCCAATCGAGCAATCCACATCCCGAACATGGAAACCGCAAACACACCTCCCGTATTTTCCTTAAAAAAGCATTTCTCAATTGCGGATTCACCAATAATCGGGAATGACACCGAATTTGGTGTTTCCGTGATCGAGAAAACCTCGATAGTAGCTCCAGATAGTGTCTTAAGCATAAAAATACAGAATGTCAGATGCTAGAGGACGCCATGTTTTGGCCATGTTCTAACAATTATCTACAAACATGTTTATGGATGAGTGCGCAGATCCACAATATAAAAAACGGTAAGGTACATACCAAAAGTTCATCATCAATCACTGGCAATTGGGAACCCATCATACCCCACCAGCCCCACTATCAATCCAGCTATCGCCAGACACCCCCGCATCACAAATGGCTGCACAATCCCAGCTGCACTAACCCCCTTAGAACCCCCCTTGGAACCAGCCTCATTAGCCCCCTTAGAACCAGCCGCTACCCAATCCTTCCACGCAGCATGCATCTCGATGACGAAAGCCTGGGCTTCTGGGCTTTCGCTCCCTTGTTGGCGATATGAGAGGGGATTAACCACAGGGAGCAACCACCCGTCGGCGGTGAAATGGGTAGAGTTTGCCAGGGTATTTGTGTCGGTGCCCGTAGAGTTGGAAAGTGTTTTCCGAGATTGCTCTGCCGCGGGAATATGAGAGTGATCGTTCGCGATAACGGCGAGGCGGTAGACTGTGCTTGAGATGATCGCAGTAGAAGACGCATCGTAAAAATTCCCTGGAGCTGTTGCTGATTGGTTTGCGTAGTTTGTGAAGATGTTCGTAGAGTCCTTCATCGTGTGTTAGAAGGTATGAAAATTAGCCGGGGAAGATACTAACGAGCGTCGCGTAAATTCCGCTGTGAATCTCGCCCACCCAGGTAATCAGATCGTTTTGTTCGCTTTTCATTGTATTTGCATATTCCGATTGGCGAATGGTGGCAAGAACACGGAGCATTCCGGCCGCTGCCCATCCGTTTCCTACAGGTGGGTTAGCTTGAACTTTTTCTTGTCAGCGACATCCTCACCTGTGGACCAATACCCATCGTCGTTGCCGCTGGTGCCAGGCAGTACGTGCTTCCACATGTTGGCGGTCGGATCGCGGAGATAACTGCGATAGAGCTTTATCTGGGTATATGACTCCTCGAGGAGTGTCCGATTCTGCGTAATAACACCGTAATAAGCGAGAAAGGGGGGCACCATGTACACAAAGTCACTCCTACGGTCAAGCAGTTAAGCAAATAGGGTAATCATCAACGTCATAATCACGCACCACAGCTGGACCGTAGACACACGGTGGGAGATGGCGCCGTCACTCGTTCGTGGTACCTTCTGGAGCAGAAAGTCCAGCTGATCCTTCGCTGCACCACTGTAATCGAGCTGGCCACCGTCCTGGCCCGTCCAGTTCGCCAACAAAACGCTCACGCCGATCGAAGCTGGATCAGCCGCACTGCCGTCTTGTATCAGAGGCTGTGGACCGACCGTGTCGTTGTTTGATTGTGCTCGACCTTGAACGATTGATCGTGCGATGGCGAAAAAGGGTGACATGGGGTCAACAAGGGTCTGTTCGACAGATGTGGGTGGAGGGAGAGAGGTATTGGAGAACACAGAGTAGGTGGTTGCATTCAGCTCTACAATGGCTTGTGAACGGGTGCCAAGTTCCCAGCTGGGATGTTTTCATTAATGATAGCTGGTTGGAATGATAAAAATTTCATAGATATACCTCAAATTAGCCCCACCGGCTAGTCTCCCGCTGATTAGATTTATCTGCGCGTCTGAAAGAATTTGTGCGGACGTGGAGCTTGAGTACATTGTCCAAGGGCTCAGGAAGGTCATGGAAAAACATCGAGCCCATGGAGAGTTGCGACCAGCCGGGTTGAATAACCACATAAGTAGGATGCCGTACGTGTCTTGAGCACGACCTCGGCTCAAAAGAAAAATATGAGGTCAATCGAAGAGAGGCCGTCTCAAGCCTTCAAACGCAGCGTCAAGTCACCCGCAGGGGTTGTCGTCGGGATACTAAGAAGGCTGACCTGTTATCGAGATGGGAAACGGCAGAATACAACTCGGAAGAACATGAATTTGAGGCGATTCTGCTGGTGAAGATCGTGAACGTTTTTCGGTATTCGGGCTCTTAGCATTACGATTTGTGATGATATAAGGTCTATTCCGTTTTGCTGAGGCAAAATGTCGGAAATTCCTAACCGTTGATCGGCCTCCTGCTAAATACCACAAGCTTCAAGTGCCGTGGTAAAATTTGGCAATCAAAGTGGACTTTCCGAAGCCGAAAATATTGCAATGCCCACATCGGTGGGTAAGTAGTCAAGAGGAGGGGCGTGGGGTAGGGAAAAGGCTGACGCAGGTCGCGCAGATAAACAGCATTTTTCGAGCCCGGATACCTAAGGCAAGGGTTCACTCATGACCGAATTTCGTCCGGAATACCGCGTTTTCTTGTCAATCAAGGAGGACGGTGAGCCGACAAGGAACACATACAAGCAACAGCGGCTGCTGCGATTCACTCGCCAAGCTATTTTGAAATTTGTTTATTCGATGGCCTCAGGTTATTGGCCCTCCAGGTTCGCGGACGTTACAGCGTTGGCTTTCCTCGAGTTTTTATTACGACACGACGGGGTTGCTGTCCGGGCAAGTAGATCTGATAAGATTCACCCAGTGGGTTGTATGGAAGGTTGTTATACGCTGATGGGGGGCTGAATGGGTAAGGCGACAGATAATGATGGGATGTGTGTTTCGGTTACAGCCTAGAGGTAGGCCCGTAGGGAGTACGTTTGGAATCCACTGGGAAAGTAATGCCGTTTGTGGTCACAATCCGGCCATTGAGGCCAGGCGGTTGGAGATTGAAGGTTTGCTGATTGCCGAAATGGTTTTCACCGAAGTAGTACCTTCCCTTGTCGTGGATGAGATGGAAAATTGACGGCTCTTCCCGATCTATATAGGGTTGGATGAAAGATATCGTCGTTGCATGAAAGACGGTAAAGGTTTGAAAGATGGGGGCGATTCACTTACGGCGCTACGGATGCCTTCTTCTGTTGTGGAACAATTGCTGCATCATATCCATATTTGTTACCCTTTTCGAGTGATATTGTTTTTCGGTTTTGTTGAGGTGGAGATTGCTGGGTTGAAGAGTGAGAGAAAAGATTACATCACGTCACCTGACGACAAGAGCAACCTTGTCCTCACGGTCTTGCCCTCCTCTGCATTTTAGTTAGATAAAGATTAAAGGACCAGGATCAGACATCAAAATAAACGCTGAACAAGAACGCCTGCATTAAGAGGGAATCGAACCCCCGGCGGGTCGAAACAATTGAAGACTTGCTCTGAATCTGGCAACGACCCAGGTTACCACTACCCCATTAATGCCTACTAATATTATGCTATCCAGAGAGACATTTGAAACACTCTGGACCCTCATCGTACTGAGTACGTTCTCAAAGTTCACTGCTTTTAAAGGCAGTTTCATGAATGATTGGTAAATGGTTGTGCAGTAGCCGCAACTTGAGTTATGCCTTTGCGTCATTTTATGGGATTCGCGGAGCGCCCAGTAGAGTTCCGAATGTTACGGTGATCCCAGACGGCGTCCACCCCAGCGTGGCTCTCGAACGCCCCAGCAGCAAGAAGGCCACGTTCTACTGCGTCGAATTCTTCCCTCTGAGTCACGGACTACTGCGTCCTTTTTTGTCTTGCCTTTTCCCCCCGAACGTGCCCACACTGACACGTTGCATGCAGTGCATGGTCAGTCGAGGAAGACATGTCGAGACTCCAACCACGAAATCGAGTCGTTCGTCTCGGAGCCCCACAAAAAGTCGTCAATGGTATTGTATTGCTCTGGACCCTGCAACGTGGCTCGCGGAGAAAGAGGCTATGATCCAGCATACAGCAGGGATGGAGGAAAACGCTGAGGTGGAACAGCTTGTAGAGACGGAGGATGGAAAAGATGAAGGGGCTGCAGAGTTGCGTTATCTTTTATCGACGTCGGTGACATCCTGATCCCTTGATTTACTAGGCAAGAAACAAGCGAAGAAGAGGAAACACGACGGACGATGCTTCTGCATCTGGCAAAGAAAGAAAGAGAGGAAGGAATCCACAAGGAAGGCCAAAGCCACCAATTGCAATGGCCATGGAGCCTCTAAACGTTCCAAAAAGTCCTAACTTCGATGGTTAAGTCCGAGGATGGAGGTGAAGATGATTTTTCGCAGAAGCTTTTCGCGAGCAATCAAAGAGACCACAGGGATGACCATAAGGTTTAGAAGAAGGTACTTCAAGGTCTCTTCTGTAAAAAGACTAAGATGAGCACCAAATACTCCAGAACAACTTGAAATTCGCTCTCAAACAACTGACTCGCACCGGTCAAGCCACCCCCTATCAAACACCGGCCACCCTCCACCCCGCCCCACCTAACACTTTTTCTCTGCCCCTTCATCACCCTTTCCCTCATCCAACATCTCTTCGCCGGCTGCACCGTCACCCCAGAACCCCAAGACGCTCCCTCCCGCAGTGGTCACTCCTGGGAGCGCTCTGGTCCTCCCGTCTTGAGGGCTTGTGGGATGCCGCTTGTAACGCGTTGGTGGGGCATTGACGCGCGTTTGATGATAGTGATTGGAATAGTCAGTTGGGGTGTATGGGGTTGCTGCTGCTACTGTGGTCGTAGTGGTGGTAGAAGATGTAGAAGCAGGAGTGACCCTGGAAACACTCAAAAGCGCACCAACAACCCCGGCATATGTACCTCCCTCCCCACACCAGTGCGCACAACCACGCTCTCGGCTACACCGCAGTGCTTGAGCGGGCTACAACTGAACGTTGGCCCGACCGAGGAGGTACCTGATTTGAGGAGGGGTTCGAACCCTCATCACGAAAGGAAAGTGACTCTTGAGAGGAGTGGTCGTATATAGAGGGATGGCCTTGTTTTAAATGGAAGTAAGTTCGTGAAAAGACAAATACAGAGAGAAAGAGCATACGTGAACGATGCCTTCCCCAGAGAGATGCATCACTCCTTCCCGGCTTCAACTATCTGCATTCCCGGAGAACTTCTTCGCGATGATGGGTTCTGCCTTGCTCTAGCACACCCTGCGGATACGAGTTTGTCCGCTAACACGAGGTCCATGTGGATAGTGAGTATCTGGTGTGTGAGGAGGGTGAGCAGGGCGGGTTGTTCGCGCAGAGCCCAGCAGGACGTTTGGGAGTGGGTGAGGACATCACTGTCCTCTGTGGAAACTTCGTCTGCACCAGTGTCGTGTATTGAGTTAGCCTTTTCATCCGCCCTACGCTCTGCATCGCAGGCCCCACGTCCTTCAAGTTGGGCAACCTCGCCACCACCTCCCTTGTAATCCTCAACCCTAATCGACTCCCCTTCTATTAGTCGCCACTTCCAAGTGCGTAGATTTCAAGCTTGACGAGAGGAAGTGAATGGAAAGTTGCAGAGATCGGTGTGTCGAGTTCTTCTGCAAATGGCCTAGGCCTGAGGGGAGAACCTAGGAGTGTCTCCCATCCCTGTTCGTATTCCCCGACGCGCCATTGAACTTTCTGTTGGAAATAGAGGATCAACTACTATTATGTACAAGTTTCTACAGTCCTTATATACCTAATTACTATGTATCTACCATGTTCTAGTGTTATCTACATACTCGGGATTACTAAGTTAATAGTCCGATATTACTAATTAATCAAGTGCGAGAATGTACTGGTAAATGCCGGAGTGTACTATTCCAACACTCCTCCTCAATTCGGCATTTCCGAAGAGCTTTCAAAATAAATCCTAAAAATATTTCCCTCATGTCTGTGCTGGTCACGTAGCATCAGCACCAGAATATCTGTAGATCATTCCTTAGATCTGCAGTCTTTTGCCTGATAGGCATCCCAAAATATATTTTCCCCCATTTCGGCAGGAGCTCCTCCTCAACTGCTTACTTGCTGATAGCCTGGGAAATTCCATAATTCCTTCAATAACATGCATCACCCAGCGATGTAATTGCAAATTGTGATGTTTCTTTTGTCGGTGAATCATTGATATCTTTTCCATCAGCTGTTTTGACGGCTTTGCAATGTCGTGAGATATGTCCGGTGCGTCCACAGCGATAGCATGTGCGATTATCAATTAATCCTTCACGGCGATCCCGATTTGGGCCTCTGCGCCCACCTGGTCCCTTTCCATCATTATTGATGCCATTACTATATAGGGCAATCTCTGTGCCTGGCCCTCCTTTTCGTCGTTCCTCCTCGAGCAATGCACTTTTAACATCAGTGGTTTTTAATTCTTCCTTTGATGCGATAAGTGATGTAGCTATGCTTGAGTATTCATTGTCCAAATTAAATATAAGGACATCTGTAATGTCTTGATCTGAGAGTGATACTCCGATGGCATTGAGTTTTCTTGCCAGATCTGTGATGCCGTTGACATAAGCAGAAATTGATGCGCTCGTGTCATGCTCAAATCCATAGAATTGCCGTTTAAGGTTAATGCGCATGGATCGACTGTTCTTCTCGTAAATATCCTTCAGCGCTTTCCACGCTTCTGGTCCATTTTTAGCGTCGCGTATGTATGTGTATTGGCTCGGCTCGACGGTAAGCGCAATCAACGTGAATCCTTCCTCGGCTTTAGTCTCCCATGATTTCTCTGCCTCCTTTGTGGATGGTTTTTCTTCTTCCCCTGAAGTCACCTTCCAACATCCCTTCTGCCGAAGCACTATACTGACTGCAAATTTCCAGTCATGATAATTCTCGCTATTAAGCTTCGTGATGGTCGCAATTATTCGATCACTTGACATGATGCTATAAATAGCCGCGAGATAAGATAGGGCAGCAAGTGCGCAAGTGCAGTAAAAGCGGTGAGTCTCTTTACTGGGGGGCCGGGGCCCATAGCCTGTTGGAAATAGAGGATCAACTACTATTATGTACAAGTTTCTACAGTCCTTATATACCTAATTACTATGTATCTACCATGTTCTAGTGTTATCTACATACTCGGGATTACTAAGTTAATAGTCCGATATTACTAATTAATCAAGTGCGAGAATGTACTGGTAAATGCCGGAGTGTACTATTCCAACACTTTCTCGCATGCTGAAAGCAGGCCGCCTTTTGCGAGAATGTAAGGATGTGAAGCATCATGCATCAGCTTCGGTACTAAACCAACCGCTCAGTGGAATCTGAAGCAAGTTTGCTACGGGGAGATGCGGAATTGGCGACGTTGACCGCATCGACTGTCCCTTGGATGTGTGGAAAGCGCGAGCACTTGACGAGGACACACATTGGACACACAGATGTTTGATGTAAGTTTTTTTTTGATGAAATCCCTTCGTCGAAAACCAAAATCCTGCCAGATATGTAGTACCCGCCAACGCTAACTACTAAGGGCGTTTCGCAGCTGGAATCTTGCTCTATTAGAGTCCGAGATGCACCTTTTCCTCAAACAACATATCCCATGCCGTGCACTCTCGATCTCCAGACCCAGGCTCTTCAGGCGACCACTACAGAGCATGCCTAAAGAACGACCGACCTTTGAACAGGAAGTCAAGACAATCGATCCCAAGCTCCTCGCCGCCGCGATGGGTGCCCCCGGAGGAACCTCTGCTCTCGACTTTCGAGGAGGGCTTTGGATACTTCACCAGTGCTGCAGTTGACCGTTGGCTAAGACAGTATCAGATCGTCCGCAAAGTTAGCTTGTTTGAGCTTCCCTCTGTCAACCATTTTTCAATCATAAAGCTAGCTGGGTTGGGCTGCTAACTCCTCGTGTGGCTTGCGGTGTGAGTTGCTGGTAAATCCGTTTACTACTACTAGTCTTCTAAACATCAATACAGCGACCACTCGGCGGCCACAAGAGCCTTCGTTGCCTTGAAAATCTTGACGTCGCAAGCCACTGTAACAGTTGTCAGGGGTCAGTCACCAGAGAGAGAGGTATTCCGGAAGATCGAAACTGCCAACCCCAACTTCAGCCCCGGGTTCAATCACTGCTTGACTCTCCAAAGTCTTTTTATTGCCAAGAGCGCGGCCGGCGGTCACATATGCTTCGCGACGGAGCCGTTGAGCTCGAGCCTCGCAAACTTTCGAGTGCCTGGGCAGGATCGGCTCGCCCTGCCCATTGTGAAGCGCATCATAAAATAGGTCCTTCTCGCTCTTGACTACCTTCATCGTGAATGCGGTCACACTGGTGGGTCTGGCCTGCACACATTCTTATCCATGCTGATGATCATATGTGAAGATCTCAAATCCGAGAACATCCTTCTTTCAATACCTGAACCAAGGGCTTCTCGAATCAGCGAATACATTCAGTCGGAGCCTGTATTCATTTATGGCCCTCCCCTAGAACTCAAATCATTGGATTTACCCCTTGTCTTTTCATGTTCACAGCCTCTACCGTATTTTAGCCTTTGTGAATCTGTTGAGGATATATCGGTGCGAGTGATGGATTACAGCGAAGGTGAGCACATCTTGCCTTCTACTTTCACTCACTCTTACCGATGATACATAAACAGCCACTCCCGTCGACGCACCCGGGAGAGAGTATTTTCGTCAACCATCTATAATCCGCGCCCCCGAAGTCACCCTCAGATATCCTTGGACGTCCGCCATCGACATCTGGACTGTCGGTTGCCTTGTACGTTGGCTACCTATATCGCTCCGCTGATACTGAATGCATCCTAGGTGTTTGAGCTTCTCACCAATTTGCCCCTTTTCGGCCAGGACGTTCATAATTACTCGCATGAACTCCATTTGCAATATATGGTAGAGGTTTTAGGGCCGTTCCCACTTGAATTCCTCAAAGATTGCGAGGATCGGGACAAATACTTTGATGAGAAAGGTGAGTGTAACTTCATTTGATCTGATCATACTCTCCTCGACGTTTAATGACTTTCTTCACTTAGGCACGCTTCTTCACAAAATCAGCGAATTCGAAACATCCACCCTCGAAGTCCCTTTGCGAGAACTTAAAGTCGTTGACGAGAGCGAGATTCTAGGCACCGCTGCATTCTTGCGCAGATGCTTGACGTTAGATCCGAAACTGCGACCGAGTGCCCAAGAGCTACTGAAAGATGGGTGGCTATCGTAAATTTTGGCCCCGTAGGAATGATTACCCTTTTGGTTAGTATGCAGCCAGACATTTAAAACTCTCTAGGCCCTCATCTACAAAAGGCTTTGGTTCATCTTACTAAGTATGTTCTCAAAGTCTACTGTTTTCAAAGGAACATGTATTTTACGAGTGATTGGCTTTATTAGATCAATAGTTTCGCGCCCCTCAAGCACTATAGCCGCATCTTGAATTATGCCTTTGTGTCACTTTTATAGGATTTGCGAATCGCCGAGTAAAGTTCCGATTGTTACGATGACTATGATAGCCAGAATACAAGTGACAGCAACAATTGCAGAACGAGTGGCGGGGGGGGAGAGCTGGGACACTCAGCTGACACTAGCATGCTCAGGAGAGGTGCGCGCTATGGCCCGGAATGGTGAGGCTCGTCACGTTGGGTGCGTCCAATGGTCTTTATCTATGGCCAGGTCGTTGAGAGAGACGAAGAACACCCTGGCAGCGTGGCTCTCGAACGCCCGAGCAGCAAAAAGGGCACGTTCTAAGCCACCAATTGAAATGGCAATGGAGCCTCTAAACGTTCCAAAGAGTCCCAAGCGATGGTTGAGTCCGAGGATGAAGGTGAAGCTGATTTTTTGCTAAAGCTTTTCGGGAGTAATCAGAGAGTCCACTTGGAGTCCACAAGGATGACCAATGACCATAAGGTTTAGAAGAAGGCCTCTTCTTCATAGTACTAAGATGAGCACCATTTCGATACTCGAGAACAGCACGAAAAAAACTCCCTCTCATAAGCACAACTAATTGACAGCATGTTCAAGCCACCCCCGCCCATGCCTCATCAAGTCTCTTCCTCACCCTCCACTCCTCCCCACCTAACCAGTTTTTCGCCCACTGCCTCTTCATCACCATCTCCCTCATCCAACACCACTTCCCCGGCTGCACCGTCACCTCACAACCCCAAGATGCTCCATCCCACAGTCCTCACTCCTGGGGGCGCTCTGGTCCTCCCGCCTTGAGGGCTTGTAGAGTAGTTGACCAAGTGGCGCTTGTGTCGCGTTGATCGGGCATTGACGCGCATGTGATGATAGTGATCGGGATGGCGAGTTGTATGGGGCTGCTGTTGCTGCTGCTGTGGTAGTGGTGGTAGTAGAAGACATAGAAGTCTTGGACGTAGGAGCAGGAGAAGGCCAAGTCAACGAAGAAGCACCCGAAAGCGCATCATGAACAACCCCCTGCAACCTCGCAACACCCATCAAAATAGCCAATGTCTTGCCTGCCCCTTTCATACTCCGGCGTCTGTACCTCCCTCTCCACACCAGTGCACACAACGCTCTCGACTACACCGCGGCGCGTGACCGGGATGCAACTGAACGTTCGCCCTGCCAAGGCGGAGGAGGTACTTGAAACGAGGAGGGGCTTGAACCCTCATGCACGAAAGAAAAGTGCCTCTTCGAGAGGGGGGCAGTTGTAGATAGAGCGGATCACCTTGTTTTACCTTCACAGTGCGAGTGAGTTCGCAACAAAACAACTACTCAGAGAGAGAAAGAACATACGCGAATAACGCACAACCCCTTCCGCGCGCATTGCACAGCGATATGCATCATTTCTTCCTGGCTTCATCTGCATTCCCGGGGAACTTCTTCACGATGATGAGCTCTGTCTGGCGAGGTATGGTATGAGAGTTAGCACACCCCATGGGAAGAGTTTGTCCGCCTATGCAGGGTCTGCGTGAATAGTGCGTCTTTGGCGTGTGAGGAGGGTGAGCAGGGCAGGGTGTTCGTGCACAGAGCCCAGCAGGACGTTTGGGAGTGGGGGAGAGGGTGTGAATGGGTGGTGGGTTCAGAGGCTTGTCCGCAGTCAGGCCGAGCATCTCTTCGTCAGAGAGGGTAGGGTATCGAGTTTGGATAGAAGCCCATATTGGCGCACTTGAGCGACCAGTTTCAAGCGGTGTCGAGTTAATTGTTCGACGGGGCGGTTGGGAATGAGGACATCACCGTCCTTTGTGGAAACTTCGTCTGCATCGGTGTCGTCCATGGCCTTGGGTTTAGTTAGCCTTTTCCTCCGCCCTACGCTCTGCACCCCAGACCCCATGTCCTTGAGCAACCTCGCGACCACCTCCCTCGTAATGCTCGACGTTAATCGACACCCCTTCTATTAGTCGTCACCCCCACTTGCAAGGCGTAGGTTTTACCGTCATCGGGTGCAAGAACCGATGAGAGGAAGTCGCTGAAGAGGTTCAGAGACTGGTGTGTCGAGTTCTTCTGCAGATGCCCTAGGCCTGCGGGAGAGCCTAAGAGAGTGTCCGTGACAATGCCAATGCGATGTCTGTATGCCCCGTAAACCAATCAATGAGCTGGTCCCAGTCTATCAACTCCAGTTGGCGTTCCTGGACGCATCATTGGACTTTCTCGCATACTGAACGCAGGCGGCCTTTTGCGAGAATGGAGAATGTGAAGCGTCAGCTTCGAGAGCCGCGAATTCCCGCAATGCAGGTTATGGTCCCGACCCTATGATAAGGATTCCCCTCGTTGCAAGACGAAAAGAAAGAAGGAGCCCGCACCGTGGGTTGGGGAACTTCGGGGGTGGCTATATGCGTACAATATCAATAGTCCTAAGATTTCAAAAATGAGGCAGGCGGCGTGAGGAACACTGGAGGTGGTTATATGCGCGACTTCAACTGCTGGTAGTGGAAAAAGAGAACGCAAACGTTACAGCAAGATGCAAAAACGTAGACACCTCTCCAAATTTCCCAGACTCCGCCTCGCTTTGTACAAACAACCGCATTTGGTGCAACTCCGCCGGACGACGCGTCATAGTGACTTCATGGCGCGCCATTTTATTATATATACTCCTACAAATATGGTACTTCTATATAATTTCTCTTTTCCCATCTTCAAATATGTCAGGGAACTACTGCTTTATATCTGTTGAACAAAAATGGCATCTCATTGTTACGAGGGTTGATAGGAAATGACATAGATGAGACGCTAGCGAATGCACGAAGTGGAGGTTGGTGGAGCGAGAACAGAATGCTTGCGTCACTCACACCCGCTCATTTCCTAAAGCGGTTGTTTGTACAAAGCGAGGCGGAGTCTGGGAAATTTGGAGAGGTGTCTACGTTTTTGCATCTTGCTGTAAAAAAGCTGCTATGGAGTTCTCCAAAGGACAGTACGGTAGACTGGAACGAAAAGTTAAAACCTGCATCAGTGAATTGCTTCAGCTTGAAAAAGATCAGTCTTGGAATCAATTCTTCTTTCATGAAGGAATTAGGGTTCTCATGTCATTTTCTTTGATCAAGCAGCAATCAACCTCTCCAGGAATTTATGCTATTCATCCATTGGTGCATAAATGGAGTAGAGATAGAATGTCAATATCTCAAGAGAAGTGCATGATGCAAGTGTCAAAATTGATCCTTGTGAACTGTATCACGGAGGAGAGGACAGTTGAGAACATTGCATTCAACAGGCTTCTTGTGCCACACATCAAAGCCATTTACCAGTCACAGGAGGAAAATGGCTTTGAAAGAGTGTTTAATGATAAGGAATATTCTAAGTTTGGTTATGTGTTCCATGCAAATGGAATGTGGAAAGATGCAGAGTATTTTGGATATAAAATTGTAGAAATGAGGATAAAGAAGCAGGGGCCAGAACATCCAAAGACCTTGATCAGCATGAATAATCTTGCATTAATATATTCAAATGAAGGAAAATATGAGGAGGCTGGGGAGCTGCAGCTGAAAGTCCTGGATCTGTGTAAAAGAGTACTGGGGCCAGAACATCCAGATACCTTGCTCAGCATGAATAATCTTGCATCAACATATTCAGGTCAAGGAAAATATAAAGAGGCTGGGGAGCTGCAGCTGAAAGTCTTGGATCAGTGTAACAGAGTACAGGGACCAGAACATCCAGATACCTTGACAAGCATGAATAATTTTGGAATGACATATTCAGATCAAGGAAAATATGAGGAGGCTGGGGAGCTGCACCTGAAAGTCCTGGATCTGCGTAAAAGAGTACTGGGGCCAGAACATCCAAATACCTTGGCCAGCATGAATAATCTTGCAATGACATATTCAAATCAAGGAAAATATGAGGAGGCTGGGGAGCTGCAGCTGAAAGTCCTGGATCTGCGTACCAGAGTACTGGGGCCAGAACATCCAGATACCTTGACCAGCATAAATAATCTTGCAGCAACATATTCAAGGCAAGGAAAATATGAGGAGGCTGGGGAGCTGCAGCTGAAAGTCCTGGATCTGTATAAAAGAGTACTAGGACCAGAACATCCATATACCTTGACTAGTATGAATAATCTTGCAATGACATATTCAGATCAAGGAAAATATGAGGAGGCTGGGGAGCTGCAGCTGAAAGTCCTGGATCTGTGTAAAAGAGTACTGGGGCCAGAACATCCAGCTACTTTAGTCAGCATGAGTAATCTTGCAGCAACACATTCAAAGCAAGGAAAATATGAGGAAGCTGCACAGCTGCAGCTGAAAACTCCTGCATCAGCATAATTGGGTTATAGCAGCATGGTATCACTTACCTACTTCTTGTATGACAGTTGCATTGTATTTACATTTGTTTGTCATTTTGTATGTTGGTACTTCTTAACAAATCAACTCTACTTGAAACCACAACATGTATATTTTATGTGGATGCTCCTGTTCCAGGGTTACAGGATCCTCTACACATGACTCTCATCTTTAAACCATGTCTCCCACTCCCTTCCCCCCTCCACCATCTGGCAAGCCTGGACTTGTCAGGAAGTCAGGAACAATGAAAGCATTTTCAATGGTGTGGGCACCACAAGTTCCTGAGTGCTTACTGTACTATTTCCTCCAATTCCGCAGGGTCTGTGACACATTACCACCTAGCCAAAATTTTGGTTTCAGCACTTGCAGGATTTGGCTGTGACAAGGCCAAAAATTTGGCAGTATGGCTCAGGCTGCAAAATTTTACTATGTTGAGACTGTTACCATAAAACAGTTTCAACACAGGTAAAATTTACCCATTACAAGTGTTACATTTTGGCGATTTTGAAGGCTGTGTGACATGTTACTGATGAATTGAATGAAATAGTACAGTAATCTTGAAGGAATTGTGAAATAGTGATGTGCAGGCCCAGCTTGGCCTAAAAGCCATGGCTATGGCCTGGCTTTGGGCAGCTAAGAGACACCTTGTGAGCTCTCTTGTTTACACATACATGCTATTTGCACCCTTTGATCACTTTCTCTTTTTATCCCTTGTATATATACTTCCACTATTTGCTAGTCTTTACTCCAAGCCACCAAAATTTTGTATATAAACCTATAAACTTTATTTCCCTCACCTCAGTTGTCATTACACTTGTGTCTGACTCTGAGGGGAGCTACTTTACTTATATCTTATTACTTGAGACTCACACTACCTGTACTACAGTTCTGTATGTTAACAGGTTATGGGCCCGACTTTCTTCTTACCCCAAGCCATCTTGACCTTGTCCACCAAGTAGTGGATGGCATCTGTTGTGGTGCAACTTGGTCATCCTCCGAAGTGAGTGTCTGGAAGTAGGGCATTCATCTCCACCAGATGGGCAATGTCTTCTGCCACTATTGCTGTCAGCACCTTTGGGATTGTGCATAGAAGGGCTATCAGTTGGTAGGCCTTTGGCACCTCATAGTTTGGCTTGCCTGGCTTCCTCAGCACCACCATTGTGAACTCCCTCCACCTTGGAAAGTAAGTTTTCAAAGTGAATACTCCCCTGAACAAGTGAACCAGGTGATCCAGCAGCTGCTCTGGGCACTTCTGAAGGACCATGTTGGGGATTTCATCTGGGCCACACACCTTGAAGGGCAATGGCCTTTTGATTTGGCGCTCAATCTGTTCTGGGGTGATGGGTGGCAGTGCTGGAAGCGGGTCAGGGTAGTCGAAGTTTCTTGGTACTCTTGAGACGTCCGGCTTCTTTGGGAAGAAAACATGGGCCAGGGCCTTCACCTTGCCTTTGTTGGTGTTAACCTCCCTTATTAGTCCGTCCACGCCTTCATCTGCTACAGGCCACGTTTTACTGTGTCGGGTTCTTCCCTATGCACTGCGCTCTTTTTTTCCATGTGTTCTCCCCCTGGACGTGCCCACACCGACACATTGCATGTAGTGCATGGTCAGTCAAGAATGACATGTCGAAGCTCCAACTACACAAAATTGAGTTGTTCGTCTCGGAGCCCCACAAAAAGTTGTCAGAGCAGTTGAAAGATGAGCACCAAATCAATACTCCAGAACAACACGAGGAAAACTTGCTCAAGTACAACTAACTCACAACACGTTGAAGCCACCCCATATCAAACCCCGCCCATGCATCATGAGGTCTCTTCCTCACCCTCCACCCCTCCCCACCTTGCCACTTTTGGCCCTCTGCCCCTTCATCACCCTCTCCCTCATCCGACACCCCTTCCGCGGCTGCACCATCACCCTATAACCCCAAGATGCTCATCCCAGAATAAATACTCCTGCGGGGTGCTGTGGTCCACTCGAGAGCTTGTAGGGCATTTGACCAAGTGCCCCTTGTGAAGTGTTGATCGGGCCTTGACATGCATGTGATGATAGTGACTGGGATGGCAATTTGGGGTGTATGGGGCTGCTGCTGCTGCTGTGGTGGTGGTAGTAGTAGAAGACGTAGAAGTCTTGGCTGTAGGAGCAGGAGTAGGCCCAGTTGTGAGGAAACACCCAAAAGCACATAAACAACCCCCTGCAACCTCGTAACACCCACCAAGATAACCAATGTCTTGCCCCTTTCATACTCTGGCATCTGTATCCTGCTCCCACCCCTCCCCACACAATCATGCTCCCAGCTACACTGCAGTGCATGAGTGGGGTACCACTGTTGGCCTGGCCAAGGCAGAGGAGACACCTGAAACAATGAGAGACTTGAGCCCATGTGCACAGAAGAAAAGTACCTCTTCAGAGGAGTGGTCGTGAAAAAGGAATCAACTTGGTTTACCTTCATAGTGGGAGTAAGTTCGAGACAAGACAAATACCCAGAGAGAAAGAACATACACAAACGATGCACAACCCCATGCACCTCCCACAGCGAGATGCATCAGCTTTTATTTGTTCCCAGGGAACTTCTTTGCGGCAATGAGTTCTATCTTGCTGAGTATGAGGTTTAGCATGCCCTGTGGCACAAGTTTGTCTGCCAACACAACATCTGCATGGATAGTGAGTATGTGGTGTGTGAGGAGGGGGAAGAAGAAGTGTCTGTGCCCAGAGCCCAGCAGGATGAATCGCCTGAGTTTGGGAGTGGGCAAGAAAGCATGAATAGGTGGTGGATTCAAAGGTTTGTCTGCCGTCAGCCTGAGCATCTTCATCTGAGAGGGTAGCTAATTTGAAGAGGGGCCAGTTTTTGCTCACTTGAGTGACCGATTTCATTCTTCAACAGGGTGGTTGGGAGTGAGGACACTGCTGTCCTCTGCGGACACTTTGTCTGCATCAGTGTCACCTTGGATTTAGTGAACCGCCACATCTGCCCTACATTCTGCACTGCACACTGCACGTCCTTGGGCAACCTCACCACCACCTCCATTGAAACCCTCAACACTAATCGACTCCCCTTCTATTAGTTGCCACGCCCACTTGCAAGGCATAGATTCTTTCATCGTCAGGTGCAAGAACTGATGAGAGGAACTGAAAAGTTGCAGAGATCAGTGTGTCAAGTTCTTCTAGGCCTGAGGGGAGAGGCTAAGAGAGTGTCCATGGTAGATGCCAATGCAATGTTTGCATCCTGTAAGCCAAGCATGCAGAT